CCTCCAGAAGAGAAGCTTATTATTACCTTACAACATATGCAGTTGGGTTTAGTTTCACTATCTGCCTGAATATCAAACATCTTAGGTATAACATGGAACAGGTATTTTCCATCAAGTATTGATATGTTAGGCTTTAGCTCTCTACAGAATATGGAGACAAAAATTTAAAAATGAAAAATATTTAAAGAATATGAATAAACAATTACATATTTTTACACAAAAATTTAGAAATCTAACTATATACAGCATTGTAGCAAGACAGTCCTGTGAGCTTTCACTATTTTGAAAGTTACCATTATATTTATTCTTCTTGAGATGCTGGATATGAGATGCATATTTGACCTTCTTCCTGTTCCCTGGAAAACTACTCTTAAATATTCTTGAAATCTTTGTAGTGCTGTGTAGGGTCTTTGGAGGTCTAAGGAAATGACTAGTGACTGAAAACATACATAGCTTCAAACTAGCAACTTTCCCAGGAAAGACCACTACAGTAAAGAGTTAGGACTGTCAACCCCATTTCCCAACCTCCAAGAGAGAGAGAGAGAGAGGGATTAAAAATGAGCTAATCATCAATGACAAATGGATCTTGCCCAACAAATAAAGTCTCCATAAAATGAAAAGACAGGGATCAGCTGAACAGATGGACCTGCTGGAAGTCAACACACTCAGAGAGAGCATAGAAGCTCCACATCCTTTCCACATGTCTTTCCTTATGAGTCTCTTCCATCCACCTTTTCATCTATGTCCTTTGAATAATCTTTATAATAAAGGAATAAGTATAATAAACTTCCCCTGAATTCTATGAGCTTCTGTAGCAAGTGGATAAAGCCAAGTAAGGGGTTACAACACCTGGATTAAAAGTATACAGGTGAAGAGCACACCGTTGTGGCTGGCATCTGAAGTGGAGGCAGGTTGGTAGGACTGAACTCTTGAAGTGTGGAATCTGATATCATATCTAGAAAGAGAGCTTCAGAATTGTATTGAGAGGACACTCTGCTGGTATGCACTGAAAAGTCTCCCATAGCACTGGTTATACAGAGGAAAATATACCCCCTAATGTTTTGGTGACCAGTGACGTGTTGCATCGAGTATGACAGGAGAAACGGACTTGCTTTTCACATATGTATGCATGGCTTATGCTCCACTTATAACTCTACCAGTCTATTCTAATGAGAGGTGATTGTAAGCTTGTAAATATTTTTGCTTCACTTCGAGGAAGAGGTAATTTTAAATCATGAAAAACGACTATTGAGAGCCACTCAGAATCCGTGTTCTTTCTGTGGGTGTCTTTAAATTTCTCTTTCCTCAATGTTGAACTTGGAAAATTACTTCTCAAGGATACTTAAAGAAGTAATCTTCTAAAGTAAGACCTGAAGTATAGTTAGCATGTTCCAGACTTTCTGTCTTCCACAATTAAGCCATGTTGACAGTGGGTGCCAGCCATGGTCCAACTGGGGACACAAAAGTTCTTGTCTTTTGACTCAAGCAGTGATGTAAAGACGTAGGCCCAATGGATAGACTTTAAGAAGAATATATTACTGAATCATTAGCTCTTAAAACTAACCACTACTATAAAACGGTGTTAAATCACGTGCAGAAGACAAGCTGGCACTAGGTATCAAAAACAAAATGCATATACTGTACTCTTTAACTCAAAACTACCCTTTAACTTATAAAAACACATGCCACAGACACACTTATAAGTGTGAAGTTATGTATTTTCCAAGCCTATCTTGCAAAATCTCTTGTTTACAAAAGTCAATTTATTTTAATCAACTTAATTGTTCACTGGTAGGGGACTGAGTCAGACTATGGAACATTTACGGTGACACACACAATGTGACCACCAAGAATGTTGAATAAGACTTGGGCTAAATCCAAGTGACGGAGTATGTGCTTACATGTGTAAGACTGTGGCTTTCATCCTCAGTACCAATAAAATAAAATAAGATGCAAATTCAGGCAACTACATTATTTAAATGACAATGGGATACCCTTTTCTGACAAAACTAAACAAAAGCAGCAGATATAAATGAAGGACCATTTTGTATCTGTATATTCAAAATAGTTAGGATAGATATACAGCTACTTTCTCTTAATTCAATGAATAGAAAGATTTGTTCTAATAGTGTTTGTGGACAAGATATTATGTCTGCATCTTGTACTATGAATAACCACTAAAAAGACAACAATATACAATGTATTAATTATTGAAACTGTCCTATTAATGAGTTTTGAAACTGTCTCATCGCTATTTGTTTCTCAATAAAATTATTAAAAAAGAAACATCTCTATATCTGTAGAGTTTGCCCAAACTGAATCAACTATGGGACCTTGAGCAACTTGCTTTACCTCTCTGAGCCTTGGCTTTCTCATCTTTAAAATAAAAATAATAGCAGTACCAATGTTGTAGATGTGAGTGTATTTGGGTGTGTATGTGTGTGCACATGTATATGCATGCCTAGGACAAAGCCTGGTTCGTAGCAAGCAAGCCAGAAAAATTAGTTAATATTATCAGCTTATGCATTCATACGAACCAGTGTTCAAGGCGGAAAAATATGAAATGTAGAACAGCATGTATAGTGGACTTCCATCAAGAAACAAATCATACCCACAGCCTAAAAGAATGCATAAAAACCCTGTTGGTGGACTCAGTAAACAAGCTGGGAGAAACAAAAAATTTAACTGTATATCTGTTATTTTTTCATAATTTTTATTGTCTGTATATATTATTCAACACATTAATTTAAAAACTCCTCCTTCAAGATCATGATAAATAAGGCAATAACTTTTAGTCTTTGATTAACACGGGTACTAATTTGAGATCCTAAGTGAGAGGCAAGATTGGAAAGTGTTATTCTTTCTTGCTTCTTCAAAGAATATGGACAAAACAGGCCAACCCTGATTTATGTGTTCTGCTAAGAGGTGCTGGATTTCAGGGTTCAGCTGTGCTACAGATGCATCGAGTGTGACAGGAGAAACAGGAGGTGTGAATCAATTATACCTCTAAATTTGCATAAACCTCAGAGATGTCAAGGCTTCCACTGAGAATTCAGGGGTGTGTATATTCTTCACCCATAATTCTTTATTTTCTTTCAACCTAACTTTTACAAAGTTTACCTGAAATAATTTTCAAAATAGGTACTTTAAAGATCTGACCATTCAAGATCCTAGTAAGTCCCTTAGCTGAGGACATTTTATCAAGATCTGACCACATCCCATCTCAATACTCAGTTACTTTCTAAGATGGGGGAAACGGGACCTAATCCATTTGCTTCATTGTTGACCTCAGGCTAATTTCATAGGACTGATAAGTGAGATGTTGGCTTGCTCCTTTTGCCTAAGTCATGGCCTAATTCTCCAGTTCCAGCTGTCCCTCTTTTATTTTACCTCAATTCTTGGCTTAAACGTTGTTTGGGAACCTTCATGCAACTTCCCAGTTCTCCTGTGATCCACTGTCTTCTCTTGAACACAGTTTCCCAGCCTGTATCTGACTCCTCTCCCCTTCCTAGAGACAAGTTTTACTAATTTCCAGAGGCTCTCACTTGGAATCCAATACAGCATCTCCCTTCACTGATAGTTACAACCTATGATCCACGAATACTTGCTCTTCATGTTGGCGCTATTCTAATTACATAACTTTTGATCATCCCTCAGCCCTGCAGCTTAGCAGAATGGGTAATACACCTCTGCTAGGGCAGGCCTTTCACAGACTGCAGTTGAAGGCAGCCCAGTGTCTTTCTGACCCTAGTTATGATTCATTTGAAAGCTGCTCAAAGTTTACTCATGACTCTGCCTTCCATTGCCTCAAGGTGTCACAGCCATCTCCTCTCATGACTGTCATTACTCTCTGGGCTGAGGATGGCAGAGAAGAGTCATGGATGAACACGACTATAGACAGTACATTTCCAGCTCTGCATGAAAATTTTATCATTTTGCAAAGTAAAATCTCAGCTTCCTCCCAGAAAAAAAAATGAGTAATAGTTACAAACTGAGAAAATCAGAATAAGATCCTGTGTTTAAACTATTATTGGATGGATAGTAAATAAGATTATGATTGTTTTTTTCTCTTTTCTTTATTTCACTTTCATGTAATGAAAATGGAAATTAGTAAATAGACTCACCTTTCAACACTCATTTTCTAAAGTTTACTAATTTGACCTAATTTTTCATATCAGAAACTTGTAAAGACCTAGAGATACCAGCTGAAACATATGAAAACTGTTCAGGGTCCTTATTCCCCACAGTAATCCCCATCCAACACAGTGAAAAAGATTTCCTAAAACAAATAAGCTAAGTTGTCTCTTCATTATGAATAATTTAACTAGAAAAATCACTTATTCATTTTTTCCACAGCGGTTTAGTTTCCTCAGAGCTTTGCTCTTAGAGAGTTTAAGTTATTTAGCGTTCAGCTTTTCTCATCCCTCTACATGGCAGACCAAAAAGGCCAAAAAAGGTGGATTAATGGCTGTATCTCCTAACACAATATTTTAGCCTCCTCATATCTGAATAGAAAAAAGCATCATTGTCTTCACACCTTCACAGTTCCATCTGCGCTGCCAGTCAAAAGCCGGGTCTCATTTGCATCAAGGGCCATCGTGCTGATTTCTGCGTTGCCATGGCAACCAGTAAACTGCTTGATTTTCTGCCCAGTGTCTATCATCCAGAAGGAAACTGTAGACCCTGCATCTGAGCTAATTATCTAAGAGAAAACAAAATTGCAGAGAAATTAAATATAGTCCTAAGAGCAAACATTTTTGTTTCAGTAAAAATATCTAGCCTGTGCATTTCCACTACTGAGATCCTCCAACAGTGAGAGAAATTTTGTAATCTATTTTCTCTCTTTTTGTTACATTAATAACATTTCAATTTGTAGGCCAAAGCTGGAGTAATGAGGTCATGATCCCCTTTATCAGGAAAGACAGGAATCTGTTTTCCTAACCCACCACTCAGCTTAGCGTCCAGAGGCCACCTTGAAATGAAATTCCACTACAAATAAACATAAATCTTTTGCGTTTAGAAAAGAAATCGAATTTTACTAGTCAAGGTGGCCTGACGCTACCTAATGTGTGAAAGCATCTTATTATATATCAGCTTCCATTTAGCATTCAGGAAATGGACACTACCAGTCATCACGGCCAAAATTAACTCTTACAAATTACTAGAGCTGGGTCTGTGGAAAGAAGCAGTTGGTGCTCAAGTTCTTTTTAATTTCTTTTGTCTCCTTTTTTGAAATTTTTGAGCTTTCTCTCTTTTAATTTCTCACGTATTTCCTTCTTCCAATTTTGCATGCATATATGTGGCAATGTGAACAGCTAATTTGGAGACAACCTTAGGCAATGCAACAAATACTGTGAAATTCATATTATTTTGTTTAGTAACATTCTGTATGGATTGTAATTTTTCTGTTTTAACATTATTTTATACACTTTTAAAAAATAAAAATAAAGGGGCCGGGGAGATGACTCAGTGGAAGAAGCACTTCCCTGGCAAGTGCAAAGGCCTGAGTTCAATCCCCAGTTCCACCAAAAAATAAAAAAATAAAAACACATTACTGGAGCTGCTGCTTTTTATGCTATTGTCTTTTGCTCTAACTTTTATCGAGGGGCCAATGTGCATTTTTACTTCTAGACACAATATTTTTTATCTTACTATGAATCAAAGAACACAAGTTAGAAATAAATCCACATTTATACTTCAAGAGGAAAGGAGCAAAATCTCTGCTGACAGGGACTGGATTGTGTATATATAGTAGCCCAAACATGAGAATGTCACAGAGGCAGGTAGACTGCAGTTCTCAGCTCCAGGTATTTAAGCATCCTGTAAGGCATTTGTGGGTTAAAACCACCCAGCTAGTATGACCAAGGAAAAATAAACAATGAAAAATTATAAACACATAAACTCATGAATAGGAAATTGTCTGGATCAACTAAATTTTTGAGAAAAGAAAGTACTTTTCTAGTTAGCTATCAATCTTTATCGTATGAATGTAATCTATGATGAATATGGTAAGTGTGAATTCTTCACTTTCAAAATCAAAAAGGTTGAAGTTTGTCAACTGTACTGTGAGAGGGCCAGGAGAGGGCCATGGTGCACAGACACCCCATCAGTGAACATCTCCCCAAGTTACTAAACGTGCTGGCTGTGCTGAGAACTAGACAGAGAAACCATTGGAAGCTCGTATGGGTCGTGCAGAGCCATCACTCTTGGTGAAGTGTGAGCACAGAGAGGGGTTCCAGGACCCACTCACTGGGGCAGGCGGTGGGATTTGGAAGGGGGGGGGGAAAGTCAGATTCAATTGCTCATTGATCTGGAATTGAATATAGAAACCCATTTATTACATGCCAGCCTTCTGCACTGGTTACTCATTTGATCTTTATTTTTTTTTTTATCCATTTTTAAAACTTGCCTAAATAGCATTTCCAAGCTTCTGTAACTATGTTTGACAGCTTGGGTGCCAGCCAGGCCATAAGTCTACCATGATGTTGGCATAGATTCTGTCTCAGTTACTCTTCTCTTGTTGCTGGGACCAATACCTGACACCCAAAATGAAGGAAGGTTTATTTAGCTCATAGTCAGTGGAGGTTTCAGTCCATACTCAGCTGGTTACAAAGCAGAGTGACACATGGCAGAAAGCAATCTTTCACAGTGTTGGCAAGGAGCAGAGAGAAAATGGGAGGAGTAGCAGCAACAATGGCAACAGAGAGGAAGTCTGTCTCTCTGTCTCTCTCATCTGGTACATTCAGGCTACCACCTCAGGCTGGACTTAGCACTCACACCCATAATCCCAGCAGTACTCAGACCCATGAGACCAACCTTGGGTCACCCATAATCCCAGTGGATCATGAGTTATTCACAAACTCTAGAAGTCCTCCCCATGACTGCATGAGGCTTTGGGGGAACACCTAGAGACGAACCATAACAGATTCCCACATAACTGACAAACTGCTTCAAAGGCAAGAGGGCTTAGAAAATATTCCAAATATGAGAAACAATAAGCTCAATAAAACCTGAGTTGCAAAGAATTTGAAGGGGCAAATATAATGAGATATGAGATGAAAAAGCAAGTTGGAGATGAAATTTTAGAAATCCTTAGTACGTAGTTCCAGAGAACACTGAGTAGTATATAAAATGTTTCACTGGGAGAGGGTTGATAACTTTGATTACCAGCAGGATCTGTAATTAACCTTAAAGATTAAGACCAATATTATTTTTCTTAATGATAAGGGTTATATAGACATTTTTGGTGATTCACTTTGTGAAGATACTGCTTGCAGTAGAATGGAGCACAAGCTCAAGCTTCAGAGAGACCCTGTGGACACTCTGTAGCGTCTAGACCAGTCTGCCCAAGTACAGGAGTTCCAGATGGAGAAAGGAGAGGAAACATTGAAAAGAGGGGCACCATTCAGCAACATTAATGTCTCGGCAAAGAACTAATCCAGAACACATGATCTCTGTTGGCCCTTTTGCCCCTGAAATTATAACCCCGGTGAGACAATTCCTTTATAGAGATAGAAAGAAGAACTCTGTGCTACATATTTTCTCACGATGGAATCAAAAGTAAGTAAAATAATTAATTACCTTGTTAAAGGATGATGTGGTTTCTAGAATGAATGATCTGGTTCTTTGAAATAACATGGCCTAACAATTTCAGTATCATTTCACTAAGCTGTCAGGGTTGCTGTTTGATTTTGTTTGTGTCAGGCGTGTCGTAGTTAAGATCACTGGAAGCTGAGGCCAGAAGACCGAAGTCTGACAGCCAGCTGCCTCACCGACGAGCCATCTGACCTCGGTCACCCAGGGCAAGCATATTAGTTAACTTCTTAGGACACAGTTCCCTCATCAGAGGTAATCATAATAACTAGTTCTAAGCATAGTTGCAAGATTTAAATAAGTGGATATTTTTAAGCCACAATAAACAGGATGCAAAATCAGCTATTTTTGCCATTCTCTGTCCATTTACCTGACCTTCAATTTAGGCTCATGTTACTTTATATATCCAGATCAATTTAAAAGACAGTGTCTTGCTTTCTTCTGATAATGACAATGAATAAAGACATATATGGGAGGAGTAGCAGCAACAATAGTAACAGAGAGGAAACCACACTGTTGGAAGCCACACTGTTGAGGTACTTTAAAATGTCGTTGTATCAGACTTGTGAGTTTTTCTTATAATTGGGTAGAAATTTGACTTACAACCATTAAAGGCAAAACCAGTAAAATATAATTTTCTAAGTAAAGTGAAATATTCTTCTTAGAGGTCTTTTAATAAAATACTGAAGATTGTAAAGGACCTTACTATTTTTATTCAAAAATCACTTATAGAGAACTTATGTGGTAGACATTTCATTATTAAACTGAGACATTCTTGAGCAAAATAAAATTTGAAAGGCCACATTCAAAGGAAAGGTTTGCTTACTTGTTCACAGGTTGGCTGCACCCACCTAGGTACAGAATTTCATCATCCACCCCATCACTTTCACCTAATGTAGACATTTGATCTGGAATCAGTAGGTCTCTCTTTCTGCTGCCTTGCACACTTGCTGTCCTGCCTAACTGGCTGAGTGCCAGCATCCAATTCATCATTTGTCATCATCTTTACAATTTCTCGTGAAATTTGCACCACTAAAGACAACAGCACAGAGTCAGGCTGGTTTCCCTGTATGGCAATCTGCCTTCCAGTGTTGTCTAGAGAAAAGTGACCATGTCACAAACAAACAACCAGTATTACCAGAATCTACTCTACTGTGACAATACTGGGATCAAGAATAACAGTGCAAGTGGAAAGCCCTTCAAAGATTAGTCAGAGAAGAGTGTTTTTAATGTCACATGGCACATGATGGAAATTGTTTCCCTGAAAGACAGTAGTAGGGACTTTATTTTTTAGCAAACTTTTTATTGTGATAAAGCTGTAGACTAAAATGGTAACTAACTTACATACCACATTTTGGTCGTACCGAAACCCTTTAAGTGTCTAGTTCATTCTTTTATTGGAGTAGACCTCAGCCAATGAGGGCTGGGCCCTGACAATCCACAGAGCTGGGAAGCCCTGCCCTAATAACTACAATTCAGTGCAGATGGGCATGATGAGCCCACCACCCTCTAATGGGAACATGCTCCAACTTAAGTGCCCGAATTAATAGCTGCTTAGGAATGGATGAGTCCTTTCGCTTCTTTCATCTGAGCTGTCACAGCAAATCAGACAATTTTATGAGATGGGAGGTTGTGTCCCTGTCTCCTAATTGTCTTCCTGCAATTCCACACCACACTAAGTGTGCTGCTTGTCTTTTGTTTGCATCCCAAGTGCTATCTTAGCAAAAAAAAAAAAAAAGAATCCAAACTTGCAACAGCACATGCTGCATGCCGTTGGCTAGCAAGGAATGGAGATATTTGATATAGTTTCTGTTTATAGTTTTATTTCTCTAGTCAGTGTTATTTATGGTCCCATAATACAAAGCAGGTTATTTCCTTTATTTTCACCTTGTATCAAATCTCAAGATGCAATATCTTAAAAAGTAGAGAGATGAGAGGAACGACAATGTTGCAGGGCCCAGAACAAAGGATGCACATATTTCAAGGCAGCCATTCTCTGTTTATAAATCTGGCTTATCAGATTTTATTTCTTCTAGATGAATTCATAATTTGCTTTTTCAAATTCATTCCCTGAATTTATTGAATACTCCTAATGTGTGAAGCATCAGA